GATCTTAGTCTTTAATGGTACCTGATCCCCCTCTGATGCTTTTAGAAATCCGTATCTACTCAACTCTCAATTTGAACTGACTGAATGGGCTTTAAAGCTTTTAAGCTTAAGGATGCTTTAATAAGCCCCTTTCGTTCACATATATCAGGTAACAAATACATTGAGAGTCTACTGCTAATCTTTTGTCTTTTTTAACAGGTCAACTTAAAAAAAATGAGTTTATTCAAGGCTTCTATGAGTAGATAAGGACCTCTGAAGTTTGTGAGGATGATACAGATAAACAAATAATAATTTTTGTCAGGTTTCTTAAGAGTTTGAAGTAAAACTAGCTGTCTTTCACTTGCTTCTGCGGCGATCTTGAATACGGAGCTCCTACGAGGAAGTCTGGGAAATTACGTGTATTCGATACATCTCAATCTTTTGCTCATGTATTGTAAAAAATCAAAAAATAAAAAATATAAAAAAGGGGGAAATAATAAAAAAAGGGCGGATCGCTTCTGTAAATAATTCAACATTGTATGCGGATTTTCGAGTTTTTCAATATTTATTTCTTTTAAGCAGAAAAGTATAACTAACATTGAAACGAAGCTTAAAGGGTTAACCATGTCTTATCGCCCTGATGTAGTATTATCTTTGTTAATTTACACGTATCTAGTTCTATCATCGATTCTCCAGTTAGTTTCCTTTAATCCTTAGATTAACAGCAAAACTTTCATTTAAGAATTTGTTTTTGATGTCAAAAGTAGTCAACAATGATGGCCGTATACAGCTGTTTACCGAGAATTGTTCTGGCTGCTCTACTCTATCTTTGGCGGTGTTTGAATGTATTCATTATTTTAGATTTACAAGAAAGGTTTTTCAAAACACCTTGAAACATTGAGTTATTACCTTGTATAACGTGTAATATAGCTCACAATTTCCAGGTTTATCTGAAAAGATGGCGCATCCGTTTTCAAACCTACATTTAGTAGGAAATATACTTACGCCATAGATACATGTAGGTTTCGGGTTAACTATCTTAACAGAGAAAAAGAAACATTCTAACATGTTGTGCTTGTATTATGCTTGATTTCAAACTCAAATTTAAAATCGTGTTAATTATATAAATTTTGTGTATTATATTCCAGTCTTTTACAATTATACCCGTGACTTTTAGACATCTCTCGCCTGAATACAGCACCATTTTCCAACTGACTATTTTTTATAGTCTGATCAATAGTGTTGATGTACATTTTGATTATAGAAGATTTTTAAGAACAAAATGTTAGAAAAATATTGATGAACAGAGATGAAACATTATATCATTTAATAATCTTTAGCAGAATTTGCATGTAAATTGTTTAATTTTTAATATATTCAAGCTGTTCCATGGCTTATTATTAAACAATTAGTTTTGTATTTCAAAGAAATCGAATATTTTTAGGGCTAACTAAATCAATTTGATCGTCGGATATTCAACACATCATAATTACCGTAAAAAGTTAAATTGTCAAGGAGTCGTTTAACTGTGTGCAAACAAATATTAATTTCAGATGAAAAGTAAATCTTTATAACCTTTTTCGTAATGATGCGCCAAATTAATCTTGATAAACTTAGGATTTTTATTACTATTCCACGAATGAAGTTTTGAAATATGGCTAATGAATAATAATCAGCGGAGTTAAATTTTCATAACACGGCAATGATACGAGATTTTTCGCATTACTTGATTCTACTAAGCGATCGGAGCGTCGATTACTTTGTCGTCGCATCTGCTACTCACCAAAAAGCGGAACTTTTGTATCGTGTCGGAACAAAGATTAGCAAAACAACACCATATGACTAAAAACCAAAAAAAGGGGTGCAAATCATGATAAATTAGTTAAGATTACTTTGTCATAATCATCATTTAATTGGGTGTAAACTAATTAAAGAGGAAACTTTTCTCGTTAAAGTGTTTTCGTTTTCTGACTAAAATGCTCTTTGTGAGTTGTTCTCTTCCACAGCCAGATCTTGGTTGTAAAAATGAAAAATCAAAATTTAAAAAGTATTCAGGGAATTTAAAACTTGATATGAAACATGGAGATAACGAAAAGTGTTCAAGATCAAAAGTCCATAAAACAATTCAAAATAAGAGCAGGGCAAACACGGACGTCTAAAACCTCCCAGATGTACATGGGATCAGGTGCCATTTAGGAGTGAAAATACCATGCCGACCGGTCACACCCGCTGTGTGCTCCTTTTCATGATCGGAACATAACGGAAAAATCCGTCATCAACTCAATGTATAAATGACGGCCTAACAATAAGTATGAAAAACGTCAGTCAGCATTTGACTCAGTGATAAATTGCATTTGCTGACATGTCATTATATTCCACCATAAAACCTACGAAACGAAACTGTTCTTGTTTCATCAACTTATTTGTCAATAATTTACCTCGTTTTAGAAATTGTTCATACGTAGAGCACAAATATCTAGGTACGGGCTTCTCTTAATTAATTTAGTTAAATTTAATTTTTTTATTGAAAACAATTATCATTCACGCTATGAAAAAATAAACATTGTATCATTGTAAACCATATTATAACATTATTTATCAATGTAATGTGTTATAACAGAACAATTCACAAGTATGTTTAAAAAAATCACATTTATAAATAAGCTTTTTTGGAGAGAAAATAAAAATAAATGGAAATAAATTTTTAAAAATTAATAAATTCTGAAATTCTGAAAAAAAAAATATAAAAATAAATGAATGAATGAATAAAAATAAATGAGAATCCCATTTTAAATTTCGATTTCAAATCCACTTATACAAGGTACATAGAAAAAAAAGATCACAGTCGTAATCCATATTTACATTATATGATATGGTTAGATAAAGTGAATTTTTTTTCGGCCGCAGAAAAGGGTAATTTTTTAAAGTACAATCATTTCACAGGTTCTCTGAATATACTTAATACACATCTACAAAAATAATTTGTACATCATGTTAATTAAAATCATAAATTCAGGGTTTGTTAACTATTATTTTCCAGTTTATATTTAAACGCATCAAACTCCTTCTAGAATTGAAGTTAAGGGATTGTGCTCAATATTTTAAAACTTAGACTTGTAAAATGTTGATGGAAATAGGTAATTCTAATTCCAAATTATTTATTTTTAAATTGATCATTTTAGTTATAAATTATTTTGTTAAAAATAAAAAAAGCAAGAAATCAATTGTATTGCAAGTAATTTTCGCTAACATTAATTTCTATTGAAAACAAATTGCCCAGAAAATATCTGTGTAATTAAACACATGAAATTGAACTGTGTAAATATATTATGTGAAAACTAATGCACATCGCATGTGTTACCTGTAACAAATTTACTTAGAATTTAAAATTAGTGTGTTAAGTAAATATTCTCAAATTTATGAAAAATTAGGGTTATATTACAAACTGCAATTTGAGAAATTTAATATAGATCAAGACTTTTACCAAGAAACAATGAACAAATAATGGTTAAATACCGGTATTCAATATTTAAGAAAAATCTCCCAAATTTCGTACACGTAAAACTATACTTTCTACCTTATCACTTTATTTCTTACATCAAGAATGGTGTTAAGATAATGTTTGTTTGTACATAATGCGTAATGTTCCGTAAACAAGTCTCATGTCAACACGTGGCAAAGATGGAATATAGATTTTATCAACAATGTTGATTTTAACTAGTTTAATGCCTGTGGTTAAAATTTTACAGTAAACATGCGTGCTAATTTTGACAGCCCAGTCTTCCATCTTTAAGATTTTAAATCAAGATTAACATTAAACTACTTCACAATAATTTGTATCAAATTTTACAGATATTTAACTTTCATTAAATTTATTAAAATCATGATCAGTTAAGTAACCACAATATTATGCAAAAACTCACTTTTCAAAAAAAGAAAATTCTGAAGATAATTTATTGATGTATAAAAAGATTGCATTTGAAAAGTTTAAGATCTAATTTGTTTATAAGTTTGGAAGTGACATGAACGAAATATTATATGCAATGAACTACTGATGGATTAAAATCATGGACAATTTATCAACCATTCATGAACTTTGCTTTGCATTTTGTTAATTAACTTAATTGCATCTGTAGTCTGAAAGGACGCACAATCAAAGTCTTCAAAGTCACTTTATTGATGTTTTGGGGGTATGAAATAGACATTGATACCTGCAAATTTCCGTCCTTGAAAAATTTCAAGAATTTTTCTTTTCAATGATTGAAATTAATTCCAGTTTTCAGGAACTCAAACATACTTCACTCATAAAGGAAAATACAAGCTACATCCTATAGAATAAATATGGTGCTACGACAATGATATTCGTTTTTGGATGTATACATTTATTTTCATTAATGTAATAAGATACATTTTCATGTAAGAAAATAATAACTTTTACAAAAACATTCTTATAAAATGTAAGAAAAGAATTTTTGAAAGACAATTTAACAGGGTAAGTTTAATTCCTTGATAATTTTCTAAACGACAATATCTCTTTTTGCCCTCTACTTTACATATTCATTAAACAAACTTATGTCATTTCTCACACGTGTTTCTCCCCTTGTCAGTGTTCTAAATAAATCAGAGAATCAAAGGGGATAACAATTGTAAGAGATTAAAGATGTTGAATAACGGAACTCATAAAACCAAAAACCTTATTCTTCTTCCTACTTCCGTATAATAGTGATTACCCGGGATATTGTCCGGACTAATATCTGTCGTAATGATGTGAAGTGATCAATCACGCATGTGCCAAACACGAATCAATTATTGTTTACTAAGTGTTAACACTATTGTCATTACAACTCGCAACGGGCCCAGTGCCATCTCTTAGCTTCCTCCGGGCATGCTTCATCAGCCGGGTCTTCTCAACGCTTTAGCCCCGCCCACTTTCTTCTGTAACTCCACCCTTTTCTCGCCTCGTTTCCATAAGAACTTACGGATTTTGAGTACATCTTTATACTTTTTGAATGCTAATTCAAGGTCAGAACTCGAAATTGTGAAACAACTATTTAAATAATTTTACATTTTTGTGGCATAAAGTTTTATCTTTAAAAATGACGGATGTAAAAGTGAAAGTTGAATTACAAAGTGATGGAGAAGATTATGAAATTGATATTGAATCGGATACAGACAATGTTCAAAGAAACCCCATTGACTTGTTAAGAAATGGACCGTTCACAAATTTCTCAATCGAAGAAATATTGAAGCCAGAGTTCGGCCTGCGGAAAAGACAGAGTGTTTTTGGTCAATTAAACAGACCTAGTCCCAAGTCTTCTCCAAAAGAACAAGATGAAAACAAGTCACCAGTCAATGTCTCTACAAAAGTGCTCCCCCTCCCTGCCTGGGTCTACTGTACCAGATACTCAGACAGGCCATCTTCTGGTAAGTTAATTAAAGATACTGTATATATAACACACCTGTAAGCCATTAATTCATCAGCAGTCGGATCATTTTTATTGTCATTTAATTCTGTTTACCAAAATTTATTTATTGACATTTCAGTAAAATTACGCTTATTTTTTTTTAACTTTAAGAATGTTATTTTGAAATTAACGGCAATTAATTATTACGATTAAAAAGATATTGAAAGTTATTATGCTTTGGTGCCAGATCTTATATCTTATTTTATCAAATAGGTCCAAGATCCAGAAAAATCAAGAAACAAAAGGAGAAATCCCCACAGGACGATAAAAGACCCAGAACGGCGTTCTCCAATGACCAGCTTCAAAGGCTGAAGGTAGAGTTCGACAAGTGCCAGTACCTGACGGAACAGCGGCGATTAGAGCTCGCCAAAACCTTAAATCTCTCAGAGGGACAAATCAAGATCTGGTTCCAGAACAAGCGAGCTAAAGTCAAAAAATCTTCAGGAGGAAAGAATTTTCTAGCGCTCCATTTGATGGCCCAGGGACTATACAACCACTGCACAGTTCCAGTGGACGGAATGGAATAGTGTCGTAATTCTGACAAAATTCAGAGAACTTGAATATTTGTATAGTCATTTTTACAATGGCAAATTCAAAATCAAACCCTATGGAATTCGAAGCAAGGCTGTGATAAAAAACATAATGAAAAAAATGTTGTGTATATAGATACCAAATTGTATAGAAATTTACAAATTTTCATGATATATATTATACATAGTACTAGCGATGTTGGTACGTGTTTTTTTGCAAATGTGAGACGATATAGTAAATGTTTCCTATATATTTCTTTGTTGTAATTTGACTGTAACAAGGACCGTGATATCTATTTCTAGCGTTTTGTAAATGTTGTGATAGAAGTTTTATATTTATTACATTGTACAATTATATTATATAACAGAAAAAATAATAATAAAAGATCTAAAGCTTTAAAAACAATGTTAACATATTTTTCATGGAGTACTCTTTCGAAAATATGAAAAACTGATATAGATATAAATTGTAAAGTATGAAGAATAGCAATACTATCATTAAAAAGAAGAGTTATTAATATTTAATAATCTATAATTAGCTATAGATTCTTATATAGTTAAAAGTTATCAACCTATACATGCAGTGTAAAGTTGTGCAAAGTTATAATTAAGGAAATTCGTTGAGTTATCAATCTGTTCAAGCAATTTGAAGAGTAAAGAAGAGCAAACATGGACCTCTTAAACACAGAGGTGGGGTCAGGTGCCATGGAGGAGTAATCATCCCCCGATCATCCTCACACCCGTCATATACTCCTTGTCATGATCGAGTCATTGAAAAATCCGTTGAAAATTCAGTTGGGTAATGGGGGGTAACAATTGGTATTTAAGAAGTCAGTCAGCATGCGACTTAAAGTAATAGTTATCAATCCGTATATACGTAGTGTAAGTTATCTATGGAAAGTATAATATACACGCTAAGTTTTCTATGGTAAGGGTAATAGCTATTAATCTGTGCACGCAGTGTACATTAGGAATGGTAAGTGTAATTAGCTTTCAATCTGTACACGCTGTGTTAAGTCACAGATCTGGATTTCTTCTATCTCTATTTTATCAAAAAGGTGAAAAAAGTTTTTTTTCTGTTGTGAATTGACAATTTCCTTTCATTAGGTCATTTGAAAACGTTCAGGATTAGTTTAACGCCCAAGGTATTAAATTAATCGATGATATTTTATTTCGTGGAACACACATCGCAGTTTAAAATCTAATTTTTTCAAATAGCTCTTTTTACTGACAATCAACTGATTAGTGTCATCAAAATTGTGCATTGAAATAAGAGAAATATCCATTTAAACCTTAATGACTTTCCATTCAAAAGGCTTTTGAATTAAGATGGATGATTGTATTAAACAGTCATAAACTATAAATGGAGAAAATCTTTATTAATATCCTCGTAATAATTTGTTCCTTCAATATAAAATTTGATAAAGAAAAGATTAGAAAAAAATTTTGTCATGTCCAGCCAGCGAAGGAAATAAAACTGTTGGTTTTTTTTCTTCGATATCAAATGCTTTTCAATGATAAAAATAGATTTGAAAGAACTGTATTTTTTAGAAAAAAAGAATTTTATTCATCAATATTTTTTGCTATTAAGTATGAACTCTTTTTTTCGCCCTCCTCATTTTCCCGGCCTAGGGTTCATATCGCCATGGAGTGCAATACAATACATCAATATACAGACTCACAAAAAAGTTATTTCAAATTATTGTACTGTATTTTAAAGAGAGATTTCTATCAGTTTTTTGCAGAGCTTATAGATATGAATCCAAAGACTTAATTATTAATTAAATTGCATTAATTATACACGGATATAGATTTATCAAGACAAATCCTATTTTAAAAATTGATTTTGGCCTCAAAGAACTAAAGGGAAAGGCTAGCATCAAACACAGGTTTTATGTTAAAAAAAAGTTCCTTAAAAATATAGGGTTTCTTTTTAACATATTCCCTTTACGGTCGATGTAAATACAAGACAAAATCATTTTCAATTTTCACCACCTAATGATGGATGTTATCTTTGGAATTTTGGTAGTCTGTGGAGACTCTGGAGACACGCGACACGGACCAGTCACTTCCTAAAACCAAACAGATTGCTTGGTCATTAAAACGTTTGGTTCATTTCACACAAAAACAAACATCGTTAGAGCACGTGTAGAAATGAGAAAACCTGATAAAAGACCGGACCTGATTTGACAGAGCAAGAACAACAATTATTTCTCTCCCTGTATCTGTTTATCTTGACAATTCTGAACTTCATGTGGCTTTGTAAACCATTTGATTTCAGTCCTTGTTCATATATCCAATTTATATTAAATAAATTCACCCAGTTTTTAAGAATCAATTTTTATTATTTACACGTTGTCTAGTTTAATGAAGATGGTAAGGACGATATATATATGACATTTTTATTAGGTGTAAAATATTTTGATTCACTGATTTTGAGGTAGATTTTCGATTTCCGCTCTTCCGTTTGACTAACTCTGTTTATGACTCAATTTCTATGAGTCAAATCTTCAAGTCCTACTGTTCAGTGCCGAATTTGTTTGACTAACTAGAAAGCATAAAAAATGTACATGTATACCAGAAATCAAAATATGTGTTAATAAACATTGAAATTTTTAATCTTAATTGTATTACTTATATATATTTACAAGATCACAACTTTTCAATATCTTACAATAATTATTTAAGAAAATCTTTTTATGTAAATATAGATATGTCTTAAAAGCAATTCGCCAGATTTTTTGTAGTCTAATGTTTATACAGATAAACATTTAACACATGACGTTTTGTTAATTTGTGCGATTTCCCATCTCTTTAGATAACGTTTTGCCCTCGGATATTTGCTCTTACGTTGTTCTTAAATTACATTTAAAATTTTTACATCGATTTTGGCACTTGTAAAACCGATTATGAATGCCCGCTGAAATACGAGTCAAGCAGTTAATTTGAACGCGCTGTCTCTATAGTTTATATGGCTACAACTACTGACTGTAACAGCCATCTTATTAATTTGATCAGCTTTGTAAAAAATAGTTACATAATCTGATAATATCCAAAACGAAATACTTGAAACTATATACAGATAAACAACTTTAAGTTACGGCGAAACAATCTTCATTCTTATTTAATGTAATGAAAATTGTAATGTCAGTGATAAACATACAATCTACAAAAGTTAACCTTAGATGTTTTTTACAATTAGGGAATTTACACAAATCATAGCTTTAAAAAGAAAGAAAACCATAACTTTTTAAAAAAGATCTTTATGCTCAGCATATTCATAAGGTTTAACATATATAATTAAATAATTATTCATTATGTTATCAATTCAGAATGTGTAATTTCAAAACGTAGGCAAGAAAAAAAAATTAAAAATTGCACATCTATAACATAACAAAAGAAATCTAAACATATTTCGCAGAAGAGTCAAGATTCAAATAATGGGAATACGAAACTATTAATTACAGCATTAACTGAGGTAATGATAACCGAGTTTTGAGTATAAACTATTATGACGGCAACAGATAGAAGAATAATGCCTTAAGCACGGTCATACCCACTTATTTAACCCCTATTAATGAAACTCTGGCACAACAAGTAATTAAGTGTCATCATTTATAATAATAAGATGCTACTGCAGACAGGAGTCTTGTTAATTGAAAATAAAGTGATTCGGGAATTCGGGAGGCGTGACCGTCAGGTTTCTGCGTTGTATATCATACTGCCAAACAGTGCTGACCTTCGGTGACACGAGGGGGAGGATGGGACGGATGAAGAATACTAATAGTGTATCCTGTTTCAGTCGCCAAAATGATCACTTCCTTTGTTCCTGGGTCAATATGTCTTACAGCTATTATCTGACATTGATACTTATTTCTACCCCGTAAACAGTAGCGGACTCAAGCTTGAGAGATGATGTTCTATCATTTTATTCAGTTAGAAACAAAAGATATATATTTCATTTGAAATATAAATTTATTGACATACTTTAAAACGTAATTTGTCAATCTGATTTTCTGATTTTTTTAAAATCATTTCGAATTGAAAGTGTTATAATTTTAAACAATAAAGCTAAGCACTAGATTTAAATAATTATAAGCAGAGATAGCATACAGTTATTGTATTGTATTGACGTTTTCACATATGGTGTTTTAAGAAGCTCTCATCATGTCTTGAGCACGATTTGGCCATATCATTATCTCGGTGATAATCCTACCTAATTTCCACTGATTTCGCCAATCGCACACACTATAGCAGACATCTTTGATCACAATGTACAGCACCTGATACGAGATGACATTCTTAATGAGAGAAGTCGTATTATCTGTCTCGAACGATAAATACAATGCTGGAAACATTTTGGAGCTCTCCAAAATCATCTCTTAAGTAGAATAAGCACATATAAACAAATTATTCTTTTTTTTAAAAAAAACATAGATATTCAATTCTTTATGGTAATTTAGTTAGGCAGTGCATTATAAAGGTAAATAAATTTACGATTTTTTCTTTTACTTATAGCCTTATTCTGAAACAGAAGGACATATGTGTTTTATCAGCATATTTATTCAGAAAAAAGTCAACTATATGATTAAAGGCTAGAAGAATAAGATACAAGACAAAGTTGGCAAACCATTCATGTATTGAACATGTTTATATGAAGCAGAAATCTTTTTAAAATCTTATTTTTGACAAGAAAATACTGGCCTTGGCCTTTAACTCGACATGTAGAGATATACCGGTATTACAGTGAAAATGAAATTAAAGTACCAATTTTTTTTCCATATTTTACTAGAAAATGACTTTTATGGTAATCGAACGACAAATATTTGAAAACCGTGATAATTTTAACTTTTCTATTGTTAATATCCCCCATTTGTGAACAATATACATGTACCCTTATCTCATGCAAATGGAGTTTTTTTTCAAGGTTGATTCGATAAGCAAGAACATGCTCTCCTTAAGAACATGGCGCAGTGGTAAGAGTGTGTGCTCTAGAGCTGTGTTGTAAGGATTATCTTCATATTCTCAAAGCCCATAGAGGGCATGGAGACCCTGGCATGTGGTGGCGTCTCCAGTTGAGAAAATATTCTCGAGAGGCTTGTTAATAATAAACAAACAAGAAAGCAAACTTAAGAACATTTTCAAAAAAAAGAGACAAGTAATTGCCAAAGAAGTTGATGAAACAATGATATTTCCAGTCTCGTTTAAATTTATCATTTCGCAAGTTCTATTGTCGATACCATAGATAATTATTTCGGTAATAAATTTTTAACTCATAATATAATAATTACACAAAGTATCTAACTCCGCATTACATACAGTACCCTCATCTCAGAAACGCACTCATATACAGAGGGAATCA